GGAGACTAGAATATAAGTTACATTTCACAGTTCTAGTGATCAATTTATCCATTGTTATCTTTCTATGCCTAATAGAACTTTGGAGTCTTGGATGACAACAATTTATGCTTCAAATTTACTTGAGCAAAGGAAGAAACTGTGGCAGGACATAAGAAGTCTTCAAAGCAGTGTGGATGGCACTTGGTGTATAGTAGGTGATTTCAACAATGTTCTGCGTGCAAATGATAGAATTGGGGGCAAATTGGTCATGGAAAATGAATACAAGGATTGAATGGACATGATGGATCAAGTGAGGCTTTTTGAAAAAGAGAGTTGTGATGATGAGTATACTTGAAGCAACAATAAAAAAGATAGCATAATATATTCGAGAATTGATAGAATTATAGGGTGTTGTGAATAGGATACCGTTAAACAAAGTATAAACGGTTTCTTATCTAGAAACACACAAGGGTTAGGGTTAATAAAGAAAAAAAACAACAAGGAACAACAAGGATTGGTTATTAAACTGCTATTCTTTCCTTTCTCTTAGAACAAGATTACAAGTATACAAGAATAACAAAATAACCTCTCTCCCTTGAAATTAGGATTTTATCTTCCTATTTTTCCTTATGTCCAAGATTGAGAAACTAGCATCCTATTTATAATAAAATAGCACACTAACCTAATGGGCTTTTTAACAATTACCCATTACAAGCTAACTTAGGGTACAAGCTAACTTAAACAATTGGGCTTACAAGCAAGACCCAATTCAACATGCTAACAACCCTAGCAATATTTACTCATGCTAACAACCTTAGCAATATTTTCTCATGCTAACAACCTTAGCAATATTTACTCATGCTAACAACCTTAGCAATATTTACTCATGCTAACAACCTTAGCAATATTTACTCATGCATGTTAGAACAAACTTCGACTACAACACGCATTACTTGCGAACAGACTTCGACCACACTAGAGTTCGATCCAATGTCTCACAAATCTCCACCTTGGATCTAACTCTATAACATCAAGAAACTAGCTTTCTTCATGCAGATTTATTAACTGCATACAGTGGAAAAACTTGCAACTGGGCAATGTCTTGGTGATCATATCAGCAACATTATGATTTGTCGAAACTTTCAGCACTTGGACTTCTCCACGCTCGATTACCCCTCTGATGAAATGCAGCCTCACATCAATGTGCTTGGTTCGCTCATGATAGACTGAATTCTTCGACAAATGTATTGCACTTTGACTATCACATTTAACAGTGATAACTCGACCTTGAAGTTTTAGCTCCTTTGCAAAACCTTCAAGCCACACTGCTTCCTTCACAGCTTCAGTTAGAGCAATATACTCCGCTTCAGTGGTTGATAAGGCAACGACCTTTTGAAGTGTTGCTTTCCAAGTGATTGCTGCCCCAAACATAGTGAACACATATCCGGAGATAGATTTTCTAGAATCCATACAACCTGCATAATCAGAGTCGACATATCCTTTGATTACTACTTTACTATCTTCACCCAAGGCTCCACCATAAATTAGGACTCTATTCAGAGACCCATTTATGTACCTTAAAATCCACTTCAATGCTTGCCAGTGAGCCTTTCCAGGATTCGCCATGTACCTGCTTACAAGACTTACTGCATATGCTATGTCGGGTCTAGTACAGACCATAGCATACATTAAAGACCAATTTGTATTCTTTTGATTCCTCATAACTTCCTTATAGTCTCTAGGTTCTTCGTCTAGAACCTCACTTGCAGAGATTAAGGCATAAGCTATAAGATCTGCATACCCAAGTCTCTGAGGTGACTTGATGACTCTCCTCGACCTGTCTCTTGCTAGCAGGTAGTCATTATCAGTCTCCTCATCTTCGACAACATCTTCTGTGTCTTCTTCGACTTCATCCGGGGTAAGCAATTCAGCATCAACATGCTCCACCTCAACAGGAATCTCTCCCTGTTCCAGCTCTTCGTCAGCATCATCAGTTTTCTTAAAAGCCATCTCTGCTTCGTTGAAAACTACATCTCGACTGGTGATACACCTCCTGTGACCTGGATCTAGGCACCATAGCCTATAAGCTTTGACTCCTTCAGGGTATCCCATGAACATGCATTTCAGAGCTCTAGGTTCGACCTTGTCTTGCCTAATATGAGCATAGGCCACACAGCCAAATACTCTCAGTCTGTCGAGACTAGGTGGATGTCCCGACCAAACTTCTTCAGGTGTCTTCATTCCCAAGGCAGTCGAGGGACATCTATTTATCAGGTAAGCTGCTGTCAAAACAGCTTCCGCCCAAAACACCTTCTTCAATCCAGCACTAACCAACATGCATCTAACCCTTTCAAGGATTGTTCGATTGAATCTCTCAGCTAAGCCATTTTGTTGAGGAGTACCTGCTACAGTCTTATGCCTTGCAATCCCAGACCCAACACAATAACTGTCGAAAGCTTCGTTGCAGAATTCAAGGCCATTGTCGGTTCTCAACCTCTTAACCTTTCTGCCAGTCTGAGTTTCGACTAGAATCTTCCAACTTTTGAAATTCTCAAAAGTTTCATCCTTCGTCTTCTGAATGAATACCCATAGCTTTCTGGAATAGTCATCAACGATGGATAGAAAATACCTTGCACCTGAGTGTGAAGGATTCCTTGCAGGCCCCCAAAGATCAGCATGAATGTAATCCAGGGATCCATGTGTTCTTTGCTTGCCTTTGTTAAACTTCGCCCTACAGGATTTACCAAATACACAAGATTCACAAAATTCTAACTTTTCGACTTTGTCACCTCCTAGCAGGTTCTGCTTCCCCAATTCGACCAGGCCTCTTTCGCTGACATGGCCCAATCTCATGTGCCATAATTCTGTCTTCGACATAGATTTCGTGGATGCAACATTTGTCGAACCACTTACAACCTCAGCCTCAAGGGTATACAAGCCTTGTTTCTTCACGCCTCTCAAGACTTCCTTCGACCCCTTCATGACTCTTAGGATACTTTTCTCTCCTTGAAAAACATATCCTTTTCTGTCGAATTCACCAAGAGAAATCAAATTTCTCTTCAAGTCAGGTACGTACCTGACTTCAGTCAATATCCTTATTGACTCATCATGAAGCTTGAATCTCACAGATCCAATACCTGCAATTTTGCAAGATTTGTTGTTTCCTAACAGCACAGATCTACCATCTTGATCACATAGCTCCTCGAACAATTCTCTGTTTGGAGTCATGTGCCAAGTGCAACCTGAATCCATAATCCACTCTTTCCTCGAGTCGCCACTTGAAACCACAAGAACATCAGATGAGTCGAAGTCATCTTGAACAATGGCTGCATTGCCATTACCTCCATGATCTTTCAGGCGTTCAGGGCACACCTTTCTTATGTGACCCTCCTTCTTACAGTGGTAACATCGAATACTAGATGTTTCGCCACTATAAGACTTCTGTTGACTTTTACCTTTTTTCTTGTCGAACTTACCATCCTTTTGCAAAATTTTCCCTTAACGGCCAAAACTTCGCCCACCGTCGAAGGTTTATGCTCCTTTCGTTCGTTCAAGTCCTTAGAATACAAGACTGATTGAACTTCTTCAAAGGTCAGGGACTCCCTTCCATACAAGAGAGTTTCTTTGAAGTGAGCATGTGTTCTGGGCAAAGCACACAACAGCAATAGTGTTTGATCTTCATCATCGATCTTCACATCAATATTTTCAAGATTAAGAATCAGCTTGTTGAACATATCCAACTGCTCAGCCAACACTTTGTCTTCACTCATCTTGAATGAATATAAATCTTGCTTCAGGTATAGTCGATTCACCAGAGATTTGGTCATGTACAAACTTTCAAGTTTCACCCATAATCCCGATGCTGTAGTCTCCTTTGATACCTGTCGAAGAACCTTATCACCAAGGCTCAACAATATTGTGCTGTAGGCTTTCTCGATCATGCCCGTCTTTTCTTTTGCCGTTAACGCAGCGTCCATGGCTGCCTCACCCTTCAACGCTTCCAAACAACCCTGCTGAACCAATAGAGCTTTCATCTTCAAGCGCCACAGACCAAAGTCGCTCACTCCGGTGAACTTTTCAATCTCATACTTTGTTGAAGGCATCTTCTCCACGCTCACCGCGCCAATTTGTTGTGAATAGGATATCGTTAAACAAAGTATAAACGGTTTCTTAATGATCAAGAAACTCACAAGGGTTAGGGTTAACAAAGAAAACAAGGTAAAACAACAAGGAACAACAAGGATTGGTTATTAAACTACTATTCTTTCCTTTCTCTTAGAACAAGATTACAAGTATACAAGAATAAAAAAATAACCTCTCTCCCTTGAAATTAAGATTTTATCTTCCTATTTTTCCTTATGTCCAATATTGAGAAACTAGCATCCTATTTATAATAAAATAGCACACTAACCTAATGGGCTTTTTAACAATTACCCATTACAAGCTAACTTAGGGTACAAGCTAACTTAAACAATTGGGCTTACAAGCAAGACCCAATTCAACATGCTAACAACCCTAGCAATATTTACTCATGCTAACAACCTTAGCAATATTTACTCATGCTAACAACCTTAGCAATATTTACTCATGCATGTTAAAACAAACTTCGACTACAACACGCATTACTTGCGAACAGACTTCGACCACACTAGGATCCAATGTCTCACATAGGGAATATGGAGTAGCAGCAAAAATATGTGAATCATAAGCTTACAGTTATGAACCATGGAGTTTCTAACCATGCTTTACTTTGTTTACAGACAAGTAGGATCAATAAACCTGCTAAAACTCCCTTCAAGTTCTAAAATGCCATTATCCAAAATGTTGGTTTCAAAGAAGCTGTGAAGAAAAATTGGGACCAACCTCTTAATGGCAAACCAATATACAGAATATGAAACAAACTTATTAGACTTCAGCCAATTATTAGGAGCTTGAACAAGACCTTCTATGGAATCACAAATCAGCTGATGCAAGCCAGACAAGAGCTCTCTAATGCCTATGATCACTTAATAAAAAACATAATGAATGTGCAGGCTATTGACAAACTGAGAGATTATACAAATGAAGTTTTGAGGCTCAACAACATAGAGGACAACATCATTAAACAAAAGCTTAAGGTGGAGTGGTTGAGATTAGGAGATGGAAACAACTCCTATTTCCATGCTTCTCTCAAGGCTAGACAGAGACAAGATCAGTTGGATAGATTGGAGGATGATAATGGCAAGATCCTAACTCATCAAAATGAAATAGAGATAGAAATTGTGAATTACTATAAGAATCTTGTTGGTACCTCTAACAATAACCTGGCCAATATTGATATTGAAGCAAAGAGAAAAGGTCCTCAACTGAATGTTATGCAAAGGGAAATCCTAATAGCTCCCATTACCGAGGAAGAAATTCTGAAGAGTTTGAAAGGTTTAAAATACAATTCTGCTCCTGGCTTGGATGGGTACAATGCCAAGTTATACAAGGTAACTTGGGATTTTATTAAGCATGATACTATTTGTGCCATCAAGGATTTTTTTGAGAAGGATAAGATATACAAAGCTGTTAACTGCACTATTGTCACATTGATTCCTAAGCACAACTCTGCTACCAGAATGAAGAACTTCAGGGATATTTCATGTTGCATAATTGTCTATAAGCTCATATCTAGGATTTTAACCAAAAGGCTTGGATTTGTCATAAGTAGCTCAGTCCATAGCAGCCAAGCTGCTTTTGTCCCAAGCAAAAGAATACATGACCACAAACTCATGGCTTATGATTTAATGAAAGGATACTTTACAAAAAATGGTGCCCCCAAATGTATGTTACAAATGGATCTGCAGAAAGCGTATGACACTGTTGAATGGAGCTTTTTGGAAGCCATCCTGAAGGAGTTCAGTTTTCCTCATCAATTCATTCAATGGATCATGCTAACTATCAAAATAGTATCTTATAGATTTCAGATAAATGACTGTCTATCTCAGTTGTTGGAATCTAAGAGAGGGCTTATACAAGGTGATCCATTGTATATCCTGTTATTTGTGCTTTTAATGGAGTATCTTCATAGATTTTTACAAAAATTTAAGGAGCAACCAAACTTCAATTTCCATTCCAAGTTTGAGAAGATGGCTATTATGAACTTGATTTTTGCAGATGATTTACTGCTTTTCTCTAGGGAGATCAGAAATTAGTAGAAATGCTATGGATATATTTAATGTGTTTTCAAAGTCTACTGGGTTAAAGATCAATCTTGCTAAGTGCAAGGTTTTCTTTGGAAATGTGAAAGATGAGAACAAGACCAGAATCAAGAAGATCACCACCTTTGATGAAGGTCAGCTTCCTTTTAGATATCGTGGAATTCCCTTACCAGCAAAAAGTTAAATATTAACCACTATATGCCTCTGATTGATAAGATTCTAGCTAGAATTCATCATTGGAGCTCGAGGCTCTTAACCTTTGCTGGAAGAACTCAACTGATAAATAATGTCATCTTCTCTATAACTAACTTCTGACTCCAATGCTTGCCACTGCCTAAAAAGTTATTCTAAGATTGATGCTGCTTGTAGATCATTCTTTTGGTCTGAAGCTGATACTATTACCAGAAAATCTCCAATTGCGTGGAAAAAAGTTTGCTCTCCTAAGAAAAAAAGGTGGTATGAACATCATAAACATCACAAATTGGAACATTGCTTGTATAGCTAAGTTGTTATGGAATCTATGCACCAAAGCTGACAACATGTGGATCAAATGGATCCACTACTATTATGTAAGGAAGCTGAACATTTAAACTATAGACTTGAAGTGAAATACATCATGGATTCTAAAAGCCATATTAAAAACTAGGTCCATTGTTTTAAATACAAATGCTTGGAATTTCTGTATGCAAATGGGAAGATATAACACTAGAAAAGTCTATGACAACCTGTATTATATTCCAAAGGTTTAGTGGCAAAAAGCGTTTTTCAACAACTCTGCTAGGCCTCGAGCTCTCAACACTCTTTAGATGGCTTGTCACTCTCGAATGGCCACAAAGGACAAACTGAAGAAATTTAGTATGATAAAGGAAGATAACTGTTGTTTCTGTAAAAAGAATGAGAACCTCAGTCATATTTTTTTTCAATTACAATGCTACAACAGCAGTTTGAAAATCAATATTGGAGTGGCTTTAAATTGACTATAAACTAGGAGATTGGAATGAAGAATTGAATTGGTTTATGAAGAAAAATAATTTAAAGAACTCTAAAAGCAGCATCCTCAAATGCGCTTTTACGAAAATTATCTACGAGCTGTGGAATTTTAGAAATGACATATGTTTTGACAAAGACACCAACATGAGTAGGGCGTGTCATCGAATTATTGAAGCTATTGTGAACGGTTGTTAGTTGTGTCTAAAGCTTAGAGGTTTCATAGATAGGCTATTAGTGTCTTGATGTTTTATAGCTCTTTTGCTTTGGCCTCTTGTGTCTCTAGACCTAGTTGGATCTAGGGGGTGTACAAAAAAAACCGGTTATTGTTAATCAAATTTGTATCCAAATTGTTCCACTTTAAAAATCCAAACCAAATGCTAAAATATAAATTTGGTTATCCATTTTGTTATCCAAATATAAACCGGTTTCCATGTGGTTTAGTTATTGGTTATCTAAATTTTATTATTTATTAAATTAATATGTTTTTGTCTCTTTTCATGTTTTATCATATACACGTTATAAACTAATTTTATATTTTAAAACAAAAGATTCAAAATTTTGTATTTTAAAATGAAAAAAAAATTGTTTACAAATTCTCTAACTACTTAAAATAGTGTACTAATACTTCACAAATTATATGGACTTTTATCAGTTAATCATATGAACATTCAGTAATTAATTATATAGATCTTAGTGCATCGAGTTTGCTTTGACATGTGCAAAAAAAATATACCAAAACTTGACTTGTTGGATTTAACTCTAGTTTTCATTTATAAATCTCAAAATTCATTAAAGCTTTATGAAAAAATAATTATAAATATTATAGATTTTTCCACCAATAGATAGAAGTTTTGAATTATACAAATATATGTATTATAAATATTAATTATCATTTTAAGTCTATATAATTTGCTGAAATTTTTTATTTTAGAGTTTTTTTTTTAAATTTCTTTTAAATTTTTTTAAATTTTTTTAATTTTTAGATTATTCTTAAAATTTTATATATATTTATTTTCAAAGAAAAAATATATTAAAATTTAAGTATTTAAATTTAAAAATTAATATAATTAAAAAAATTAAATTTAAATTTAACTAAATAATTTGGGTTAAAATAAAAAATCATTTAGAACCAATTTTAAACCGGTTTAGAACAAGTGATTTGGTTTATAAACCATAACCATAAAAATGAATTGGTTCATATTAAATGATATTCATGCACACCCCTAGTTGGATCTCTTATTAAGATGGTTTTGTGTAGGATTAATAAAGTTTATTTTAAAAAAAAAGATGTTATTTTTAATGCACAGTAAATTTTATATATACTAATTAAATAAGATAACAATTAAATGGGAGTGGCAAATTAAATCATGAGGCTTTTAGGGCTAGAGAAGTAACCCTTCACAAGTCACCCTAAAAAGAAATTGAAATTTTATAGTAAAAAAATGGGCGCGGTGAGTGTCGTCTGGTCTTCCAACACAAACGAATACTATAATATAGAAGAAAATTACTGCATATATAATCAACAAATATGCTAAAAGCTTTTGCTGCGCTTTCTCCTTCCCTCTCCGCATCCAGGTATTCATTCATTTTCAACGCATTCAAATTCAACTAACCGATTAATATTCAAACCATCTTATTCATTCAATCTTCTTTGACTGCGTCTAGTGTTGCGAGGAGAATGAGTACTTCACCAAAATTTCCCAAATTCATTTCAGTTGAAGCCGCTGATATACATTCCAGAACTAAACCTGACGGTAACTAATGCATTCTTCATCTTATATAATCCAATCTCATTTTATTTATTTATTTATTTATTTTAATTCAGGTTTCAGATTCAGCCTTGTCTCCTATAACATTTTGGCTCAGGTATGCTATTTTCTCATAATCTTTTTATAATTTCACTATTTATAATTTATTTAAGATTTTTTATTTTAATGTAGGCTTATGTCAAGAGCATTATTTTCCCATACTCTCCTCGTTCGTCTCTCAAGTAACTTTTCATCAATTTTCAATTTCAATACTCACAACATAATTATTGAATTTTAACTCTAATTGTTGATTTTTCTTACTGCAGATGGAATCGTCGTTCCAATTCCATTTTAGATCTTCTTAAGAATTTGGGAGCTGATTTTTTCTGCCTGCAGGTTTTTTTTTTTGTTTATTTAATTTCGAATTCTGTGTTAGTTTCAGTTAGTTAGTTAGTTAGTTGGTTACTTTCTTTTAAATAGTGTTATTTGTTGTGTTTATTTATTTATTTATTTCAGGAACTTGATGAATTTGATAGCTTTTACAAAGGAAAGATGCAGGAGTTGGGATATTCTTCAATTTTTATGAAGAGGAGCGGAGAGAAAAAGCGTGATGGATGTGGGATATTTTACAAGGATGAACTGTGCGTACAACTTTCTTTCCCTTATCGCCTTTTGGGGTTAAATCTTGCATTTTTTTTTTCATTTCCCAAAACAATGGCATGAATGTCATTAAATCTTCATTAATGTTCTTTTTGTCTGTTGCCCTGTGCGGTTTAGTGCAGAGTTGGTCTTGGAGGAAAAAATTGAATACAATGATCTTGTAAAGACAATTCCAGACGGGAACTCTTCAAAAGACGATGAACACAACAATGTCCAAACAACTAATAAACAAAAGGATGTTGCGACCAATACTGGTAAATGCAGATTGAAATAAAATGGTTCTGTTTATTATATATAATTCTATTCTTAGTAACAAGGATTTTCATATCTTTATTATTCTTGAGCTTGTACTGTTTTGGTGTTCTTACGTATTTCTTTTTTTGATAAACTTGTGGAAGCAAAACTTACTTTCTGTTACTTCATTGATATTGCCGTTCTCTCTTGCTTTCCTTTCCTGGATATATTTTCTTCTGTTTTTTTTCCCTTCCCGTATCTTTTGCTTCATTGAATGCTTTAGCACAGAAAATGAGAATTCTCTGTTACTTGTACAGACTTATGAGCATTCTACTTCATTAACTGGTTTTCTGATGCAGGACCTAAATCGGGTATAGAAGATCGTGGAGATCCCAATGATCCTCGTGTGAGACTAAAGCGTGATTGTGTTGGAATTCTAGCCGCATTCAAATTCAAAGGCCCCTCTCATCAATTTCTTATTGTAGCCAACACACATATTTATTGGTAATGGAGTGACTTCCGAATTTATTCTTTCTCATCTGTTGACTTGAAATGAATTTTTGAGTCAATATGGATTGAGCTATCTGAATATGGGTTTGCATAACTTTAGCTTTAGAATTTATAAATTCAATACAAATTTCTGTATCAGGAATCCTGAGTGGGCTGATGTCAAACTTGCACAAGCCAAATATCTTCTATCTCGCCTGTCACAGTTTAAAACACTAGTAGCTGATACATTTGATTGCACACCTGAAGTGATTGTGGCCGGTGACTTCAACTCTCAGCCAGGAGATCCGGTACCTAGCATTTCTAAAATCTTATGTTGCCTATTTCTTATTTTCGTTTAGATTCTTTTGTCCATGTGCCTTTGTCATGTTCATATCTTAGCCGGTTGTTGTCTTGATGCTTGATGTTTGCTTCTTGATTAAGGTATTCCTATTTCAGAACTTAGTTTTATTGCACTGAAATCTTTCATGCTGCATAAACCTACTATAAGCTTATGAACCAGTCCTCAGTCTAAAAAATAGGCAGGAAGATTGGCGCGCATTCAGTTGTTGGGAAAGGGAAATCACAAAAAAGTGGCCACAGATCTCATAGTTAAATTTTTTTATGCTCCCCTTTCTTGTAAAAATGAACATAAATTCATAAATTTTATTTGATAACCAAACTGAACCAATAGCTTTTTCAGTTTAAATTATATGAAATCACCATATACTCTAATAAACCTTTGCACCATTGGTTAGCATTGTAGAGTGTAAAATAGAGCAGCTTTTGGGACTTTTTAATTAGAGCAAGAAACAACAGTGCAATATTATGAGTGTGAAAACTGAATGTATATCAAATATGAATAATTACTAGCACTAATATGTATGTATAGACTATTCTAACCGAATGAACCGTAACAATGGACTAATGAACCAAATACAAATTTCGACTAATAATTATAAAAATATATTCTGTAACAATGAGGAATTTGTATTACCATTGCTCTTTTGTTGTTTCAATTGGTTATTCACACTTAACACTTGTTTATAGCTTTAGACGTGCTCTCATAATTTGAGTCGGATTTTACTAATCTGTTTGATCTCATGTTTTACAGGTTTATCAGTACCTCATATCTGGCAACCCTTCATCTGAACTGATAACTGACTGTATAGAGGACCGTCCCATTCCTCTAATTAGTGTCTATGCTTCTACTAGAGGAGAGCCACCATTTACAAACTATACACCTGGCTTCACCGGAACACTCGATTATATATTATGTTGCCCCTCTAACTTCATGAAACCAATTAGTTATCTTGAGCTTCCAGACTCCGAAGCAGCAGATATTGCTGGTGGACTGCCAAACTTGAGTCATCCAAGTGATCATCTACCAATTGGTGCTGAATTCGAAATAGAGACGAACTAAATATTGTATGGCAAGTGCTATTTGAGCTCAGTTTTTCATGTTCCATGTCATTTCTCCTTTGTCAGTCTTGAAGTGCATAAGTATTATCATGGCCATGAACTCAATACAGCCACTTGCGTAGAAGGGAAATATCACCAAAATGCAAACAGTGTAGGATATTTTGTTCCATGACGAAAATTTCCGAGGTTGGACTTCCTACCTTCGATAAAATTGCAGTTTTGAAGAAAGAAAGTGATCATAATATCAAATTTGACAGTTTGAAATTTTTGTTATCCTCTGATTTATGTAACATTATCTCATTGATTTTAGACAATAAACTCTGTTGTGTACTATTCTGGTAGCAGAAACATTTTTGGAGTAAATGAATGTTTTTATTTTTTATTTATTTTTTAATTTCTAAGGAAAATAGGCAAAGTAAAATATTACAATCTTTCTGTTGATCTTCAAATTAAAGTTATCACACTTACCAGACTCTTTGGTAAATCTTTGTTATTAATTTTTTGATGTTATGTGGTCCATTTTGGTAAACTGGTCAGTTCAGCCAGAGATTGATAACCATAATAGTGATTTTATTTGATGGCTCCAAGATAACGACTAGCAGTTTAACAACACCCATCTGATTCAAAAAAATCAATTTCTATTGCCCATTCTTGTCAGATTGTATGTATAACTACTTTTTTTTTCTATCTCCTTGAATTAAATGCTACTGTAAATAGCAGAATTCATTCTGGAATTGCTATTCTATACATTATTTTTGCCAAAATGATTTGTGTATGTTTAGGTTGAAGGTAGGTTTGACTAAATAGCAATATCCACGGTCAATCTAAACATGCACTTCTGGTTGGATAGTCAATTGTGAGTGGTTTAATATCATATCGTCTATAAATAGGTAGAATGTCGAATTCATAAGAGAGATGATTTATATATCTAATATTCTAAACTTTTAGATGGAGATGTGACGTTTTTCTCTATTGTTCCTCAGGAACATTGGTTCAATTGTTGCTCCCGTCTCCCAGTCTCCCCCACACTTTTAGCGTGTTTTGATTAGTGTTAGGTGAGAGCAAATGCCCCTTAGTCCACGACAACCATTCATTGCGTAGGCGTGCTTTGGAACATGTGCCAACAGTAAACCAAATACACTAGTACATAGCTTATTTTGCTAGTATCTGACTGAGATCAAGGTTGTTATTCCATATGCTTAATTTGCACAGCATTATCTCAAATTTGGACGGCTCTCATCCATGTCTATTTAAGTGTTTCTTATGTCTTGTAACCATCATATCTTTACATTAGATTGAAGTAGGGTCCATGGCCAATTCAGGTACTGTTATTGGAGCCTTTTGTTTCAACTCTGGGACCACCTGTTCTGCAACTTGCAAGGGCATGCTATTGCTTTTTCAATCAATAACGTTTATCACTTAAACTGGTAAGTCTCTGAAGAAGTGTGTAGACATTGTTGGAATTCTAGACACATCTTATGAAAAAAAATAGAGCTTGAGAACAAAATTCTCTAGACAATGTTCATATCTCAATATGGTATTTGATATTGAAACATTATGCTATCATATGGCTCTAAAAGGCATTACGTAAAAGCTTAGAATATAGCTGATTCGGTATATGTCATTATTTTCATTTTCTTTATTACTGGTTTAGAAAACATAATATTATGATGTGAAAGAGAAAAAATTACAGGTACTCTTGGGATGAATGTTCTGGTAATAGGTATCCAAACTGTACTTATGGTAATAGAACTTGTACAATAGAAAATGCCCTCGTACACAATATTGCTTCATTGAATAAAAACCAACCACTTCCTATAAATGTAACCTCATTACAAAAGTAGGAAACATTTTAGCAAATCTAAGCTCATTAATTACAACACTTCAGCTCAAATTTGATACTAGTAATATATATACTTTTTGGACTAATACTAGACATTACAAACATGATATTATTGGTGCTGTGCTAATTTGGTAGAACTGGAACTGAGAAATATGCCTCTGCCACAGGTGCTTCAATTCCCACCATTCTTGATTCACTTGCAACATCTCCAATGAAACCTTTGTAGAATGCTTTTACCTTAATTACCATGTAAAGAAAAGATGTTGCAAGGTAAGAGAATCCCAGCCTCTGAAGCTTTTGTGCTTGAGCTAGATTTGTGCTACGTTTTGCACCCTTTTCATGAGACGATTCTTTCTTATTTTTGTGCTCTTTGAAGGCACTTTCTTCAGGGTAGATTATGCTGCTATTCTCTATTCGACGATAACCATAGTTTTGGCGATGAAATGGTTTTTGTTTGCTCCCTCTTTCACCATAAGAAGCTGCGTACTGCATTAGTAATGATTGGCATCTTACATCAGAAACAAGTTGTGAAGCCATGTGTGTGTGATATGTGGAGGTTAAGGATTGTCCTCTCTTACTCACTCTTTGTCTCTTAAAGTATATGTGGTGTTTTGTAAACTTGGTGACTTTATATAGAGAAGGCCAATACGAGGGTAAGTGATTGTCTAGAGTTGCACAATTATACTTTTACATGATTATACCGTTGGATCAAGATAATAGTGATGACAAGAAAGAAGAGAAGTAAAGAAGAGAAGTAAAGAGTTTCAATAAAAATTGATAAAAATTAAAAATATAAAAAATAAAGATAGTATAGAGTAAAGCAAAAACGTCCTTAACCTAATTATAATATAACTCAATCTTTATGAGCAATACACCATGGTGAGAGACACACTATATATTCATTCAAAATTTTAATAATAGGTGTGTGAGTTCTTTTAACACGAGGGAGTATTTACATTGAAGTCTTTTCTTTATGATCAACAACCTTTGTGGGAGACACACCACATATTCATCCAAAATTTTAAAGTGATAGGTGTGTGAGTTTCCTCACTTATAAGTGCACAAGTCTCCACTTTTTTAATCAATGTGAGACTTTTTCACACTTATTTCTAAACACTTTCAACTCACATTTGTTTTTCTCAACACTCTCCATTTTGATAAGTCGAATTCTTGAAATTTTGAAATTCTCTTCTACCAAAATTCTGAAAATTCACTCTACTCTTCATGCACCACTTTCCTTTCGCCTTCATGTCTTTCTTATTAACACGAGCTTGCGAAGTGATCTCGGTATTTGCTTTATAACTATTCCTCTCCTCCATTCTTTGTTCACGGGCTTCAAGAGAACTTTGAAGCTCCTCCTTGCTGATGGTTGTAAGATCCTTCGGTTCTTCAATCACAACCACTATATTGACGAATATTGACGTCAAAGAACATAAGATTTTCACAATAACATAATGCTCTGTAATCATTTCTCCACATTCCTTCACTTGGTTTATCAATCTTGCAATTCTTGTTTCTGAATTCATAGATTGTTTCTTTCACTTGCTTTTGAATTAACTCAAGCTGCCTCTTGTAAGTTTGAAATATCACCACCTTTGACTTATCAATTTCTGCTTACGTTTTCGCCAAGATTTCTCAGGCTTGGTTCGAAGCTGTGCAATCACCAACTTTCTTAAAATTATCCGCATGAACAGATTGATGGATAAAAAACAAACGCATTTTAATCTTTCGTTTTCTCATCCTTATGCTTAGACCTTTGTACATCTGTTGCACATCATACAAGTGAAGTAACTATATTCTTGACCATTTTAAAAACATCTTGAAAACCAAACAACATCTTCATTTGTTTGCACCATTTGTCGTAATTTTTGACATCAAAAATTTGATTCAATTCATCAAATACCTACCTTTTTCTAATCAATCTGAGACTTTCTCACACTTATTTCTCAATACTTCCAACTCACATTTATTTTTTTTTCTTCACTATAAATTATGAGAGAAATAAAAAATCATATTAATTAAACTTTGAATAATCATCATCTCAATCATATAGTGTTTAGTTACATCTATTTTTCTACCCCATGTAAGACTCTTCTTAATACCAACAATTAGCTACTACAAAATGGCCATAAAATATCATGAAAATGAAAATAGGCCCCTCTGAATTAAGAGTGAGTACAAGGCACGTGAAGGGTAGGGCCAATAAAGACAGGCAGGGTAGCATTGTCTTTTTCATTCAATTTCAGTGACATGCAACTTGAGACTTGGATCACGTAATTGCATGGTAAGGAAGCATAATAGCTCGCAACTTGCGAAGGTTTCTTTCAGAAATCAAAAGTTTCAATTCAGAAGGGTTAGAAATCAAGTGGTTCAAAATAAATTTGTAGTACGTTTTTCTAAATTTGAATCACAAATTTTCTTACCCTTGTTTTTTTTAATTATTTATTTATTTATTCTATATTTAATTTGTACAAATGAAAAGCATGTTTGTGGCATATATGTGACAAATTAATTTACTTGACTGATTGAACTATTTAACGATACGTGCTCTGCATTATTTTCAGTTGCTGAGTTATTTTTTTGAAGGAATCATTTCCTTATGATAAGAGCATTGCTAATTGTTAGATGTTAAATTGTGCTTATTTGAGTTATCAAATGTGGGCATCTTCCGCTCCTTTTTGTTCAATTTCGGTTCAAAACCGCCTTGCTTTTGTTGATATGCGATATGTTGTGAAATGCTCTTGTTCCTTTTAATTTGTGTGTTATTATGCAGTATTTGAGCATAAAAGAATAGAATTTGAAGACACAAAAAAGTTGACAAAGGAATCAAGAATGAACAAGAGCAAAAGCATGTTCGCTAGGCGAATATCTGGCGAGTGTTGCAGCGAGTTGTTCGCTAGGCGAGCATCTAGCAAGCTGCTAGCGAACACTCCCAGATTTGGGCAGAAGCAAAATGGCATTATTCGCTGGCAGCGAGGCAGGTGGCGAAGAACTCGCTAGGCGAGCACCTAGCGAGCAGCGAGCAAGTAGCGAAGCATTCCAGAATCTTTTCCTCAGTCCTCGCTAGCATGTTCGCTAAGCGAATCTGTAGCGAACGTTCGCTGTTAGCTCGCTAGGCGAATGAAGTCGCGAGCGTGACAGGACAACAACTTTTTCTA